ATATATATTTTCGTAAGCGTATACATATGTATATATGTATATACAAATAAATATGTATATTCACATGCATTGAACTTTGTTCTATATGTAAAACATTCATTTGGTATCTTTTGAAATGCCAATTTAAAGTAAAATATATACACTTATGCATATATAGATACATATATTTATGTATCTGTAAAACAGGCCACCACTGGCTGCTACGTAATTTCTTGGCCACTTTCCAATTCAAAAACCAACACCAAAAAAAAATATATATATATTTATATATAAAATAAAAGCAAAAATAATGCCAAGTACAATAATTGTCAGCAGTTTCTTTGCATGCATTTGGCATTTTCTTTCTTTTCCTTTATTTATTTTTGGTATTATCTACTAAAAAGTTAGTCGCATGTTTAGCCAAATCGTTTATACTAGAAAATTACGTGATGTTTTCTTTGTTCAAATTTCGTCTTTATATATATCTTTAACATTTTTGGTGTTTTTTTTTTTTTTTCAAATCTCTTTTTGCATAACAATTTGTTGAATTCAGTTTTAACAAATTATTTGGTAAATTCCCATGTAAAAAGAAATGAAACTTTCATTTTATGCATTTATCAATTTCACTATAAAAGCTATCGAAAGGGGAAATATTTACATTGAAATATATATACAGTTATATCACGTTTAACAGCTATGAAGATACGACTGGAAATTATCATAAAACAATAAATGAGATTCTAGAATCATAGCTCATAAAGACTTCAAAAAAGGGGCTTGGTATAGAAGACTTATTATTAATCTATCGACAGTGACATTTGTGGGGCTTGGTAAATGGAGCAAAAGAGACAAGCAATATGAAATATTTCTTTAATTAAAGTATTTTTCCATTGACAGCTAAATATAAAAGGTTCACTTTAATTAGGTGATTAAATATTTGAACATTTTGTGCAACTGGTCACACTCCGTGACTCTGTTCATTTACATACATATGTTTACAATAACATTAAATGTGAACACTCTTTTATGGTGATCCGTTAGCTAGTTCAAAGGGCTGAGCACACACACAAACAGACATACATATATCAGACATATGCTGAGGCACTGTAAACCTTTAGCTTTGAGCCAGGCGTCGGCAAATCTTTCTGTTTATTGTTTGTTCTATTGCATATGCATATTCTTCTGTTGTCGTCGGCTTGCGCATGGCACAACGTGTAAAATGTTGACGTTGATTTGGTTTTGCTGCATTTTTTTGCATTATTTTTAGCGTCATTTTTGTTGTCTATGTCAATGACCTGAGGCAGGAATCGGCGACAAAAGCGACAAGAGCGACAAAAAGAGTAAAATCATCGGCATGGCTTCAAGCTCACATTCAATTAGAGGTGTGAACACTTGAAAGAGAGGCTGTGCTAGTGTGGGTGTGCTGTTATGTCTGTTTGTGTGAGTGCCTAAGACTTTACTTTTGTGTATTGTGTATTGATGCGGGCATATTTTAAACGATTTCTTTTTCTCCATCGTACAAAAGAAAGTGGCATACATGTGTACATTATGTGAAAAGCAAGCTTTCCCAAAAAAAATTCAAATTTACAAAAAATATAAACGGTGCATTAACAATGTCAGTTAATGTTGGTTAAAAAAAAATACATCTCAGACTTGTCGTACTACAGGTTGCAAATCGTGCGATTTTTCAAGGCCAATCACAATCGCTTTCAAGTTAGTAACAACTTTTTCTGTTTTCTTCTTCTTTTCATTCATTTTAATGAGGCAGAGCGTCGTTCCACCATGTGCAGCACCCATTCTTGGCAACAAACTGCCGCTCAATAAGTAACTGCTACTAGCTGGCAGTCTAGTCTATCCGAACGTCACGGAAAGAGAAGAGAACAGAAGAGAGGAGAATGAGAGAGAACGCGCGAGAGAGCAAACAACGAAACTGGTTCTAAAATTACACACACAAGTTTCTATAACCGGCAAAAATAAATTCCCGATCGAACGCACAAGCATTTGTCGCGACATCTTGTCTCGCCCTTCCCCCATTCTCTCTCTCCCACTCTCCAGTTGCAGTATGCGGTTGTCGAGCTATAAACAAACCCAAGCCTTGCGAATATAGCCTCTCACTGAGTGTTGTCTCCGACTCACACTCACACTCACACTCATGCACTCCACATAGCTGTTTACAAAACTTTTACACACCCCACATTGCATTTATCGCGTGGTAGTAGCTCCGCTGGCGGCCGCACACCATTACGTCACTGGCTAAACAAACGCGCTGATTGGTCGAAAACATCGTACGATAAATTTCTCAGCAGCGAAATGTTCAAAAGACCCAGAAAATAAAATGAGAAAAAAATAAAACAAACATAAAGCGTCAGCCGAACATTTGCGGCTTGCTGATTCACTTCACTTCGTTTGACTTCGTGCCACGTATGAGCGTCGCATTCGGCTATTCGGCTATTTGGTTCTTGTTGTTGTTGTTCCTCATTTCGTTCGGTCTCCACTTGTTGAGCGTTTTCGGCCATGTATCGCTTTTTCGAATACCGGCGCTAGCGACCTTCCCTTCGTTGCGCTCCTACCGCCCCCTTTTGTCGTACTTTTTTGGCCACAGATCAGCTTTGAATTTTGATGTGTTTATTTTGGATTGCTGTTGGGGCCGCAACGGATCCATAGTGCACATTGCCGTTAAATGCTAGCGGCGGCCCCGTCAAATAGTAGGAAATGCATTGAACAGTTATTGACTAGGTCGTGTCGGTGATCGGGTGATCAAATGATAGCTATTAGTGACTTGCACATCCGTCCATATTATTTGCATTCTAAATATGTGCACAAGCATGAGATAATCAGTTGGTAATATGCAAAGAATGTCTGAGAGCTTTTTTTTTTTTTTTTTTAATATTTTAATTATTTTCTTTTTGATTCCGGATTTCGCGCTATCAGCGGCCAATCAGCTGTTCCAAAAAAAAAAAAATAAAGTAAATAAACGTAGATTATTTTTATCATTATTTTTCTTATTTGTTGGCATTGGCTAAGAAGTGATAATGGAAAATAGTTGCGTCAGCCAAAACGTAAATTTCATTAGTCTAGTTCTGAAAATTTTGTTTACATTTCGTAACTTAAAAATAAGATGATTCATTGTCACTAAATAACAACATGTCTATGTGTCAGCAATATTTCATTAATTAAGCAGCGACACAGGAGAATTTTTAGAGCTTACAACGTTTTAGATCTCTTAAGCATATAACTGTCATTTGTGCTAAATGCTGCAAAATTGTTATTTACATTAACAGCACTCCTTTGCATTTTAGAACTTCTTTCCTCTATTATGAATTGTTCTAAATGTTATTATAACATGTCTTTTGATATTAGCGCTGTTAATGTTACAATTAAACAGAGAAAACTAGTTTGCTCAATGTTAAAAGCTGTTCATAAAATCATGAGTATTATTAGCTTACAACATTTTACACTGTAAACCGGCAGCCGTTTTACGTAAGAGTTTAAATAAATGTTTGTTAGATTTACTTAACCAATTAACAGGAGCTGCTGCAACACATGTGCGGCACATTAAATAATCACGAGCTTATCGCAAATGGAAACATTTAGATTTATATACCGTCTAATATATCTAGTACCAGAGAATCTAATCTTTTTCACTCTCATTCTCTCTAATCTTCCAGGTGTTTTGACGGACGTAAAGAAAACCTTTGCCATAGACAATGATTCTGCTGGCCTATTACAGACAGTTTTCGTACTGTCTTATATGGTATTCGCGCCGCTCTTTGGCTATATGGGCGATCGGTATTCGCGTCGTTGGTTGATGGTTGTGGGCGTGGCTCTATGGTCTACAACAACATTGTTCGGCTCATTCATGCAGACTTTTGCCGGATTCATAACATTCCGCGCTCTGGTCGGCATCGGCGAAGCCTCCTACAGCACCATAGCGCCAACGATCATCTCCGATTTGTTTGTGGACAGCATGCGTTCCAAAATGTTGGCGCTCTTCTATTTCGCCATACCAGTGGGCTCTGGACTTGGGTAAGTTTGCCATTTTATTAAAATATATCTAACAGTGCGAAGGAGGCGTGGCAGAACCCATAAATTATATTTTAGTCTTGTTCAAGGCGACAAGCTGAGTCGGTGTAGCCTTGTCCGTTTGTCTGTATGTAAAAATGTTAACGAATCAGATCCTTATCGAAAATCTGCTATAAAATTATATCTCATATTATATTATACAATTTGCATAGTTATATTTTCATTGAAGTATCAGCTTTGCAGCTTCTGCAGGATATCTGCTGGTCACGCCCGACTAGGGCGGTCTTGCTTAACTTTTAGTACAGTTGGCATGTTAAAATCCCTTTCAGTACATTCACGTGATTAACATGGGTTGGAATTGGGCTAAACTATCTCACATGATCAGCTGATTCAGATCATTCAGACCATCGTCTGAGTCGGAGCTGTGGCCTGTTTGCTCGGCTCGATCGGTGCAAAGATCGCTCGCAAAGCAGCAGCAGCAGCAGCCGTGAGAAAGCGGCGCCAATTCTCGGCTATCGGCTTGTGTGCATTCGTTCACCTTTTGGGGTTCAGTTGAAAGTTTAATTGTGCATAAATTTAGTTGGTTTTATTTTGTTGGTTATTTATAGAAAGTCGTGAAATCAAACGTGAATTTAAACTCAATTAGGGCGCACAGCGCTTAAGTGAGGTCAATTGCTAGAATCTCTCAGTCAATTGGCAGCCAATGCAGGCAGGCCCCTATGCTGCCTCATGCCACATGCCTCATGCCACATGCCACTTGCCACTTATGTTGTTACTAATCATATTTGATGCACCCGCAGCTATATTGTGGGATCAACGACGGCGGAACTGGCTCACGACTGGCGCTGGGCACTGCGTGTCACGCCCGTTCTGGGCGTTACGGCCGTAGTGCTGCTCTCGATGCTGAAGGATCCGAAACGTGGCGAAAGCGAAGGCGTCGAGCAGGTGGAACGTGCCAGCTTCTGTGTGGAGCTCAAGGATCTACTGAAGAATCGCTCCTTCGTGCTGTCCACGGCTGGCTTCACCTGTGTCGCCTTTGTGACCGGCGCCCTGGCCTGGTGGGGACCCAACTACATTCATCTTGGCCTCAAGATGCAGCCGGGCAACGAGAATCTCAAGCAAGAAGAGTAAGTTCCAAAAACCGATGAAGCAGTGCAAGACGCAGTCGAGATTTTCTTTTATCCTCTAGCTGAATTACTGAATTCTGACACTGATCAAATTTGTTGTTGTTGCAYCACCATCATCATCGCATTGTTGTTGTAGCATCTCGTATAAGTTCGGCCTGGTCGCCATGGCCGCCGGCCTAATCGGCGTCCCGCTGGGCTCGGCCCTGGCCCAATACTATCGCACGCGCATCGCCAACTGTGATCCCTACATATGCGGCATCGGCCTGTTCATATCGGCGCCGATGGTGTTCATCGGCCTGGTCATGGCGCGCAGCAATGGGACGCTCTGTTTCCTGTTCGTGTTCCTGGCGCAGGTGGCGCTCAATCTCTGCTGGTCCATTGTGGCCGATATATTGCTGGTAAGCAGCAACAGCAGCAACAGCAGCAGCAGCAGTAACAACAAAAGCAACAACAGCAACAACAACAACAACAACTAGAACAAGTTAATAATCCAATTGCCATTGCCAATGTTTGCTAACCTTTTCAACTTTTTCTGCTGCCTTCCATTATCCATCCTGCCTCTCCCATCCTAACCTGGCTAAAACAAACAAACTTTAGTGTGTCATATGTGTTTGGGCTAATTACAATGACCGCCGGGCTGGTGGGCGTGCCGCTGGGCTCAGTACTGTCGACGGCGATAAAGAAGCACAATAAGGCCGCCGATCCCCTCATCTGTGCCGGCGGCCTCCTGCTCAGCGCCCCCCTGCTGACCGGCGCCTGCCTGGCCATCTCCAAGTATACGGTCGCCTCCTATGTATTAATGTTTTTCGGCCAAGTAGCTATAAACTTGAACTGGGCAATTGTTGCGGACATATTGCTGGTAAGAATCGGGCGACGCATCTCTACGGCTCGTCCTCTATTTCGTATCTCTCTCTCTCTCTCAACAAACAAAAACTTCCTAACAAATCCAACCACACAAATCACTATAGATGGTGGATAATAGATAATGGATAATTGATCTTTATCTTCATCTTTATTTATCCATTTTATTTGATTTTGCTAATCTTGCACAATTTGTAATGTAATATTAGTCGTATTATTAACTTTTTACTGTTGTAACATAGACACACACACACATACATGCACACACACTCTCTGCTTTGTATTTATATATATTTTTTGTGTTTGTCTTTAAGTTAAACTTTGTATTATCTGCAAACATCGCTTGTATAGCTATTTAGCATCTGGCATAAAACTCAGAGGTTAATATGATACTTGATAAGGATGCGACACGAGACATAGAGCAATATAATATATAGTAAATCAAATAGATAGATTATGTATTTATATATATATATGTCTCGTTTCGCTTTCTTATCAAGTATAAACCTTCATATTTATGCCATTATATTGTCATCTCTCTCTGGTGTTGGTAACTCATTCAGATAAGAGCCCTCTCTGATATTCTATCCCATGTCATAAGGTGGTTGGCTGCATCTTTAATCTTCTCAAAGTCCTTTGCCACAACACAAGTCCTTAAAGTCCTTTATCATACAATTTAATCAAATACATTTATAATACGGTTCTGGTCTCTTACCCTCGCTTCGGGAAGGCATCTCTAAAGCAATCTCTTGAAGTGCATAACTCTGCATATCCTTAGACATGTAATAAATGTCGTTATTGCTTTCATTTCTTGCATTCTAATGCTCGAATTGCCTGAGGGCATTTGTCGCCCTGTCAGCATCCCCCAGTAACCCCAAATCCCCTAGGGTGTTGTATGAAAAGGGGACTTCACACTGCCAAATTGGCAACTGCAACCCCCAAAAAAAGGTTTGATTAAAGCCCGAATTGCCTTGCCTTGTTATACATTAATATGTGTATATCTCTTTCTCGACACATCACGTTCCACTTTTACTTTGGATCAAGTGTCATCAAATGTGTAATATTCATTATGCTGCAACCTCGTCGCACACTTTTAAACTGTGCCACAAGTTTCAGGTTTTATATTTATATAATTATTTTTGATCTATTTTTGGTATTTTGAGAACAGTTCCGCTTTGGCAACGGAGCGAATGCTAATTGTATTCACGCAGTAATGCAAAACGAGAGTCGAGACTGCTCGACTACGAGATACCCTGTGCACTAAATTGACTCAGGTTGTCAACCTAATCAAATAATATATATACGCTTTACTTTTGGTGTTTGTTGCACAAATTTTCTCAAAATCATTATATCCTAATTACCTTTTTTCAATAGGTATAAAATGAAAATCAAATTGTTTTTGTACCAGTGCCAAAATGTAGTTTTTGACGTAGATATTTGTTTGCTTTTTTATGTAGTTACGCACACACACACAAACACACATGCACACACACTACACTTGCTATAACAGTAAACAGTTAAAGTAGTTAAAAAGAACCAAATTTGTAAATTTGTAAAAAATGTAGACAACAATTTGCCACAGTCAAGTTTTGGTCAGTCGGTCGGTCGGTCGGTTGGTCGARCGTTCAGTACTGTTCCCAGACGTGCGCACATCAGCTGTTCCCATGGGGCGATGCATGTAATTGGTGACACGAACCAAATAGCTGAGACACGCACACTTTCTCGGACGTGGCGCCATCTATTGTAAGCTTTGCACACACCCACACACGCACGCACTGTACACACATTGCTTAAGCTTAATTTTGTTCTAATTGTTGTTGTTGYTCTTGTTGATAATACTGCTTGCTTGTTTATGTGTAGCAAACGAAATAGAAAATACTAAAATACCAAACTCTTAACCCTTACGCAGTACGTGGTTGTGCCGATGCGTCGCTCCACAGCCGAAGCGGTCCAAATCCTCGCATCCCATGCACTGGGAGATGCCGGCAGTCCGTACCTGGTGGGCGCTGTAAGTAATTGAAATCTATACATATAGAATTTGTATATTAATATTGTACGTATTAATTCAGATATCGACAGCCATTAAGAACAAGATGCTGGCACAGTCCAGGACCGTTGATAGCGATGTTTTAAAAAGTATGTCCCAATTGGCGGAAAACGCCACAGAAATCGTCACAGAAACACTACGCGCAAGGGTAAGTTAGCTATAAAGCTCTATTATAGTAATGCTATTATTTGAATTTATTTATATTGTAACTTTGCAGTCGGCTGAGGATGTTTACACCTTTGAATCGCTGCAGTATTCGCTGTTCTCCACCACCTTTGTTGAGGTGCTGGGCGGCGTCTTCTTCCTGATCACCGCCTGTTACATTGTGAAGGACAAGTCTAGAGCGACAGCCTCTGTTCTGGGTAAGCATTAAACATATATTTATACACATATACACATATATAGTGGCATATATATGTATATGTATGTATGAGTGGCTAGTCAAGCGTCTCTAAACTAACTTTTCGGCGCCCCCCTCTCAGCTGACAACGACTTGAGATTGGCGCCCAATAACGACTTGAGTTTGGCGCCCAATCCCACCTATTCGAAAACACTTTTCGATGCCGAATACCTGGCCAATTACACAGACATTGCCTTGCGAGAGCGCGCGTGAGCAGAGGCTTTAAACTAGGGTTTTCTTAACGTACAATAGCCACACAARAAATCAAAATAAATAAATATAAAAAGTTCGGTAGGTGTTGAATCAAAATTTCCAAATTCTGTTTGTCTTTGGTTTCGTTTGTGTGAGGCTAAAGAAACTAACAAAAATTAATGTTTGGAGCGCAAATTCAGCATTTGACATAAGGCTCTCATAATCGCACACAAATACAAATACAGCTACATCCACAGACACATTCGCGAGGGAGAGTTATACTCACACACAGATAAGCCACCCACTCTCTCTCTCTCCCACACACACACACACACACACACATACACTAGCTCACCCGTTCGTTCCGTTTGTTCGTTCGTTTAGATTTGCTGATTTACTCGTAATTTGCTTTGACTGTTCCGATTTGCGTCGCCTTACCTGTGTCTAATTTAACTGTCCTTTCTATAACATCAATTGATTGCATTTCCAATGAAAATTCATATTAATTTCAATACCTGTGTATATTACAGAATACAGCGAGCAGCAACGCCAGCAGCAACGGCAACAGCAGCAGCAGCAGGCGCAGAGCAACACTAACAATGCCTAATATCTGCCGATCCGGGAAGCTTTGTTACACACCCAGCGCGAAGGGATTCTGTGTGAAATGGCACTGACTGAGTATCATCTTTAAAATTTTATTTATATACGTATGTTTTATACGAAATCATCAGCGAATCATCATGCATTGGAATAGATATGCATAAATGTTATGTAAACATGTATTTTTGATGTATTTTAGCTTCTTTTTTTCATTTTATCCCTCACTTTTATTATTTGTTTCTAAGGCACTTGAGGAGCATAAGCAATATGTTCTATATAAGGGCGCATGTTCCTATACATAAATACATATATATGTATATGTACAGACCCACGCACACACACTCAAATATACATAACACACATACATACACACTACTATGTGGGTGCAGGCATACATATGTAGATGCAACTACAGTGAACACTTTGTAACACATACATACATATATCATTTGATAGCTTAGTTTAATTAACTGAGAATGTAAAAGTCGATGCACGCAATCGATTTAAATTACCGATATTCAGTAGCTTTAATTTTATGTCAAGCGACTAATTAGAATTTAACATCATATTATAGTAATATATGCATATACATATATTGTAAATAGTTAAGAGCATTGGAATTTTGTTTTAAACTCTCGTTTATCTCAGGCATACGGAAAATTTAATTGGGCTACAAATGAGAACTGTAAATATTTTAATACACGGCCATAAATTATAAGCAATTAGCCTAAACGCTCTAAATATACATATATATATAGATATGTTTTATCAAGATGTATACATATATAATTATATATAAATTGTAATCGTAGTTAGTTCGTTTAACAAATTTTTCTGAAACACTAAAGAACAAGAAATAAATAAAAAATTAAATATGAAATACACAAATTGAATGTTTGTTTATCTCTCATAAATAAAACCACCTCTACATTTACGGAATTCAGGATTTGAACTTCGTTATTTACTTAAAATTCTAGTCTTATATATGTACCTAACATGAGCATCTTAAAATTACTTCCAAGAACTGGAAGGATCATTTTTACCATCCACACATGTTTACATAAGTGTCCCTTTTTAGTCCTTAGCGAATCTCATTTTACAATCTTATCAGCTAAGGGATGACATTTTTATTACTTAGTGGAAGATAACATGCAGCATACTCAGCATTGTTTATTCTGTGTGTGTATATACATATGTATGTACATACATATAACATGCTGGAACATGAATTAATTAGATTCTATTTTCATTCACAACAAAATCCTTCAAATGCCTTGGCTGCTGAGTCAATGCATAGCTTGTTATCAACCAACAGGTGTGACGTCACACTCTCTTAATCTTTGCTGCGCATTAATAATTCATATCGCGCTTACTGTTCCTCTTTGCCTGCAGACTCTCAAACAAACGTGCTAGTGTGTGCATTAAAACAATAACTGTCGCGTACCTGCGTCGACATAAACACATATGGGCATACTTATGTACATATGTATGTATGTAAATACATATGAACATTTACATTCATGGCTTTGCTGAAATCTTATACGACTGCGAGCTTAAATATTACGCTTAAATGTATGCACTATTTTCTATAAATAGATATCATCTCTTATACAATAAGTATTTAAATGCATTTTGCATGCACATCTACATATTTACATGTTAATGTAAATATATACATATGTATGTATGTATAAATATGCAGACGAATCGTTTTTATGTCTGTATGTATCCTCTAAGAGAGCTAGCTTTCCGCAGTGTCATAGCAACCAGCTGTATGTCAATGCCGATTAACGTAATCAGTGCGCGAGCTACGCCATTAGCGTCACTTCCTATTACCATGAATGAGCCCAAATGACTAAAGTGGGAATTCATGTATTTTATGAACAAAGTGCCATAGGAAAAGTGACAATTATTAGCTCTCTAGGGCTCTCAAATTGTATATGGCAACAGCCGCAGTTGCACTCTTCAACGCAGAAACCAAATGAGCAATATCACAGCTTCACTTTTAGAAACTGCCTTCCGCTGTCCTCGGTTTATCTTGTATACAAATACGAATAAGACGGAAACAGAGCTTAGAATTTACATTAAAGTAGAGTTCAGAGCAGTTGTGCTTTGACGATCAAATAAAGAGCACTTGACTCTCAAAGAAAATATTGAATAAACTCAACTCAAAATATACACATACATACATATATAAATATGTATGTACATACATAAATATGCATGCACATATAAACATATGTACATACATGTATGTGTGCATTGTGGCGAATGCTCAAAAGGAAAAAGTAAATCTAGAAATCTTAAATAATAATTTGCATATGTATACATACATATGTATATATATACAAACATACATATTTTCATATATGTATGTATGTATACATAATACATACATAATTTGGCAAAGAGCAATAAAAATAACAGCTACCATGGTGTGTGTGTGTGACAATTTTAGTTTTCTTGCTCTGTAGACCGTCTTCGTTTCAAGCACGAGAGAACGAACGCAGAAATAATAGATAAAGCAAGGATAGACAACTAAGCAAAAAAATACGTCTTGGATCATTGACACACACAAATGCATACATACATAAATATGTATATGTATGCGTTGAATTTCTGTTGAGCTACGAGCATGTTTGTCCGAGCGTGAGAGTAAATTTGCGTATGCCAGTGTGTGTGTGTGTGCATGTGTGTGAAATATATAAGAGACCAAATGAGGAAACGCCGAGCTCAGTTCGTTGTGAAGTTTCTAGATGAGTACAGCTCGAGTACATTTCTCATGTAGTAGGTGAATAAGGAGTTGGCGATAATTGAATTGAATTAAAGGAATTTGGTGCGATTAGATTACATTTTAATAAGATGGATTACCAACCTGTAAGTTTCAACAATTATCCATAGCTAATTTATGACAGTCAAACAAGTGTACAAATATTTAAATATGTAAACGTTTAAATTGGATATTCGAATGCAGGTGAACACAAAATTCGAATTGCCCAAAAGTCCCGCTTCAACGCTGCACAACGATGAAAGCGATGATGATGTAGAGTATATCGGTACCATACTTCCACCTGGGGGCCAACAGACAATTATCGACACCAAGTGGAGTCCTAATCAAAATGCGGACACAATGGCTTCCTTATTGGCCACGCCACCATTATCGCCAGAGGAGACGCACACGCAACACACGCAAATGCCCATCCTGACAGCTATGCTGACACAGAATACATGCCCCAACTCAAACTTTGAGGTGCAAATACCCTGTTATCTGTGCAAGCGGCCATTCCATGATATCAAACAACTGCGTGACCACCTGACTATGCATGCCAGCCAATTACTCATACACCTACGGCAAGGCGCTACACATGTACCCAATCTCTATCCATTTCCTCCAACCTTTGCCACTGATCAAGGCAATCGTAACGGATTTGTTGAGGACGCTCCGCCGCAGTCACAAGAGCCACAGCCACAGCAACAGCAACAACAGCCGCAACAGGTGAAAACGACTCAAGTCGCCTGCGATAAGTGCGGCAAACTGTACATCTGCAAAGCATCCTTGAAGCTGCATCAGCGCCTGTATCACACACAACATCCCAACGAAAACCATGGTAGATGGTGGGCCGGAACGTCGTATAAATGTCATATATGCCGGAAGAGCTACAAGCGCGAATGTTTCCTCCAAAAGCACATCCGCTACAAGCACGGCTCACAACATTGCACAAATCCGCTGGACGAGGCTGTGCAGACTACGCCGTCTGTATCAAGTTCCGAAAAGCCGCAACGTTGTGTCTGGAGCACAAAAATGTTTAATGCCGTTGCCGCAGCCAACTACAATCCGGCCACAGAGACAGCGTCCAAGTACTTGCCGCCTGATACATCCGCAGCATCAGAGACGCAGAATCCTACTATGAAACCGCTTACAAAGCGAAAATACCCACTGCGTTCTCCCCACTTCAATCCGTGAGTGTCCAAGCAATCTACAATTGAATTCAAGTCATTAAAAACAAAAATGAAATCGTTATCTTTCAGTAACCTCTGGATCGACAATGATGCTTATATAGAATAGATGTATACGTATTTATAAATTTGAATACCTAAGTTAACATTTAATATTTCTCTGTGAAATACGTTTAAGGTTATCTTTTAAAAATATTCCTGGACAGCATAGCTGCCGCACATACCTACATAAGACATGTATGTATGTGTCTTTATATAGTATTAATATTATAATATTTATGATCATAAATAAGCTGATAAGCTTTCGCACAATCACTTGAATATTTTCAAATTGTGCTGAATTTCGAAAAGGCAATTCGAAATAAGTGTTGTAAGACACTCTGTTGATAAGGCAAAATTTGCAAAAGGCTACGAAATTCGAGCTGCGCAAAAATAATAAACAAAGCAGGCTCAGCATTACTTATTCGTTTAAAAGGAAACTCAAACCTTTTGCTGAATCGGCAGAAAAAGTTATTACAATTCCAATTACATTTAAAAGTCATTCAGTTGATATCTGAGCCCCAACGGAGCAACAACAGCGACGGGAAAACTTAATCTAATTTCAGTAAGTATAGTTTACAAAATATCCATATATCTTGTGTTGTGTAATACTTGTTTCGTGATCGATGAAATATTTGGCTTTAATTTTTGCTATAAGATAAACGAGAGTAAAAAAAAAATTAAGAACTGTCAATCATTTTTAAATGAAAAGAAGCAGAACATTTTTACGGATTTTTTTTTTTCTTTTTAAGAATTTTGAATTTTTGAAATAGCACAATCATATCATAATCACACAACTCTTATGAAATACATATATGTTGCGTGTTATATGAAATACTCGGCTTTACTTAAATATAAGGACAACGGAAAATTTTAAATACAACAAGAAAATATTGGATAATCAAATTCTTTCAAGAATTGTGAGTGCCAATTCATAATTATAATTATACCAATTTTGTAATAGACTTACATAGCTATAGAAATTTTGGCAACGAATTTAAATATGTATGTATGTATGTATATATACTTTCTTGCCAAAGAAATGTCAATACATACAGACATTTAAATATTTATGCATAAAGGAGGAATCTGAAATATCCAAAATGATCGTTTGGTTGTTAATTATATCATTGAATTAAAGATGATTTGATAATAATATAGGATTGTATTATTACAGACTAATCATAATATTAATAAATAAAAAAAAATTATATAAAATCAACAAAATATAGATATACACATAAACACAAATACATACATATGTATGTATGTATGTGTATATACATGGCACATTCTAAAATTCCGTTAAAGAAATCCGCTTGGAATATGATGAAATACGCTTACCATATGATATTTGAAAATAACTAAAATAAGATACACAAGCATATGTATGTATATGCATACATCTGCTCACAGTTATTTGACCAGTAAAAATAGATTTAAAAAAAAACCCTTGCTGGTGGTCATATTCCCGTTTCAAGTGCCTCCTTTATCCACACATTTTCTACCCAAAATACGCACACACACACAACCAACCACAGGCACAGGCTCACAAAAAAAAAAAAAAAACATTTAACGGCTCAAGTAAGCAGCTCTTATCGCTTGCAATGCGGCTCCGTTAGTCTTGTGCGCAGTTCTAATCTGTCAGGCGACGAGAACAGAGCTACGGAATAGTTCGTTCAGCTGTATTCGCAATTACACGAAAACATTACACAACCTAAGCATTTGATCAATATAATATAAGGACTTGGCAGCAGTATGGAGCTCAATATACACCCAAGTTTGGTATAATTATAAGAGTTCAAACTCTATAAGTGTATAGCATAATTGATTGATTTAGAACACTGATTCCATTGCAGACGCAATTCGACGGGCTGCGCTCAAAATTGTTATCGAATTCGATAAATCAAATTGTCATCTCAAGTGGTCAATTCGAAATGGAAAATGAGGAGACCGATCCTTATGAATATGGCATAAAGTGTTTTCTTTGCCAGAAACTTTACACGGACATTGATGAGCTGCAGGATCATTTACAAAACCATTCCATAGAGATCACTGAAAATACAGCTCTGAAATATTACAACTGTGATGTGTGTGGCAGGGGTTTACGCTCCGAGGAGGAATTGAAGAAGCACATAAAACGCTTTCATGGAACACATCTGATCAAAAAAGAGATCGAGGCTGGAAATCGATTCAAGTGCGATAAGTGTAGTGATATTTACATAGGTTCTGATTACTTGGAAAAGCACAAACAAATGGCACACAGTGTTAAAGATGGCACAGCACAGCCTCCGATACAAAAGGAACTCAAGATAATCACACGTATAATATCAGCGAAACCAAAATATGCACCGCGTTCACCTTTCTTTAATCCGTAACGTATATCGTGAATTTCTAATTTACGAAAAACTCAATCTTATTTATTTTTTAGAAATCGACTCAGTTGGGATGCGTGCTTATAATCATTTAACGAGATTAACTAATTTATATTAACTCAACAAATAAGTACCTGGAATTCAGAATCAACAAATGATAGTCACACTGACATGAGTTTTAATTTGATAAGCGTGGAATTGCTTCATACGAAATCATCATGGAACAATACTATTATTTGGAACAATACGTTATTTGGATTTGAATTTATTTTATTCTGCGGTATTAACTGGACCAATGTGGCTTCGGACTGTTAAGTTATATGAAGTTTCCATATGCAGGTCTATGAAACAAGAAAAGAAAAAGATTTTGTTTTTTTGAAATATTCCTAAATATACTATGTTAAATTATTTTAATAAACAGCAGGGTTTTGCTTTATTTAAAATTTTATTTTTGTCTATATGTATGGTATATGATTTATAGTATATAGTACAACATATGTTTATTTATTTCGCTCGCATGTTTAATACATTCCAATGCAATCAATTGATTATTCGCAATTCCTTGAATCGTAGAAAAGGTGTTTTGCATGTGTTTTCTTGAATTACCTAGATTTGCATTTTAGTTTTTGTCTTTTATATATTATGCATATTATATATATATAGATATATATAGAAATATCTATTAACTTTTAAGCTTAAGACAAACATTCCTTAGCAGTCCAATGCATTCTCACGCAATACCAGTTATATATACCTACTATTCCCAGTACAAACATTGAAATATAAGTTGGCTAACTACATACGTTATAACGAACTAACTGCACGCATATACCATCGTTATGTCAATCCAATACCTTATCGATAGCTATATATAAAATTATTATTTGGAAAATAAATACTATGAAAAAACAGCTGAAGCTAAGGCAATAACAAGCAAGAAACTAACTGTTAAGATTGGGAAACAGAATCAAAAGTAAAAAAAAAAAATGGTTTTCGTAAGTCTTTGTTTTTTGGAAACGCAAAGCACATGTGACTAAAAACAATATACAATTTGGATTGATTGCTATAATAAATAACTATGCTCTTCTAACTAGTATTTGCAGGCTACGAGAACTAAAATATATATTGTGACAGCGTTTTGCCTTTTATTGATTTTATTTTTATTGAAATTGTAAATTATTTTCAAGATGTGTCTGTGATTTTTCTTGTATTGTTTTCCTTTTTTTTAATATTTTTTTTTTAAGTGCAAAAAATCAACAAATAAATAAATACATGCACTTTATAAATTATCTATACCGCGGGTGACAACTATTTGATTTATGTTATCATATCTTTACGCCTTTTCTTTTAGAACTCTAGATGTGACTTAGTTCTAGTTAATATAGTTCACGTTCACTTGTTTACTTGTCTTACGCACATATCTTTGTATCGGGGAGGGGGCTGTATGAATGTACTTAATATGAATCTTAGCTGGTTGCCGCATCGCCCGCCTGGCCTGATCTGTCTGTCTATCTTTAGTCACCAGAGTTATTACTTTTCTTTTCTTGATGTTTTTAAGTTCGAAGAAACTCGTATTTATGCTGTATACAGTAGTAGTAGGATTCTCGACTTATGTACTATTTAACCTGAGCCCGAATGTGTTGCAAAAATTCATAATATGACAAACTAGATTCACTACGATCGTCCGTTAATCTCTCAATAAACTGTGCCTTAGCAGTGCTCGTATCCCTGCAAGAGAGCATAATTAGAGTGAATATTCCAGATTGTATTGATTAAGTCAGACTTACCTGATAATTTGCACTAGAGGCGGATAGGGCTTATCGTAATTCAGTCGCATTATAAAACGTTTCAGAGCATCGCTCTCGGCGCTGACTACGTTCGGTAGACCATATACGTAATCTGGTAATTCCGCCGTCGACCTTATGCCTGCGAATGAGAATGATTTATTAATGGTAATTATCTGCTGAAATTATCGCTGCGACTTACCCAGCAGAGCTTCCAGCACGTCAGTGGGTACATTGAGGCCCACATAGATCATTATCAGTGTGCCGCAATCCATCAGGAATATCGAACGTGAGTCCAGACTGAAAGTTACAAATGAAATATAGTGGTTAGCAATACGTTCAGATGATTCTCTCAAGGCTTAGGCCTTACTGTTCCGCAGATAGCTGAAGACGTTGCATCTCCGGCAGCAGCTCGTCATCGTCGTAATCATCGTCCTGCGTTGAGCTTATGTTAGAGTTGCGCACATGGTAGACGAGTGCATCGATTTTGTACAGCTCGGGGTAGATATACTTCATGAGCTGGTCCAGTGGCAACGTTTTCATGTTGTCCATGGCAAAGACGCGATCATCCAGACGCGTGCTGGTGCCCACGCGAAAAGCGGGCTAAAACGGCAAGGAAACAACAATTAATTAACAACCAACCATTGATTGCGCAATGGATAAAGCTTCTTACATGCTTGAGCAGCGCCAGAATGTAAAGCGGCAGCAGGGCCAAGCTACGTGGTGCTATCAACTGACCACTCTGGCCGGAGGGAAGATTTTGTGCAATCTTAAATGCATTGAACACGTCGATAGTCGCATTGATAAAGGCGTCCCTGGCATCCGATAGACTGGACGTTGTCGAACGATCCACGGCCATTTTGGAGAGCAATCCAATGATGGCTTCCGTATCAGCTGAATGCATTACCTCGGGCAGGGATGCAGTCACCGGGAGACATATGGTATGAACACGAATGCGTCGCTCGCCCTCGCTGTTCGTATAGAGCAGCGCGGCCTGGAAGCAAATCGTCTTCACATCGGTGAGGCTCTCCTCATACGATATTTGCATGCCATAGCCTGCATCCGGATTGACATTGGGTAGCGACAACAGATCCGTGCTGCGCACAAAGAAGTTGCCATGGAATGTGTGCACCTGCAGACCGCGTGTACAACGCAAACGCATCACCGCCTCGAAGCCAATCTTGCGGGTCAGATAGCGCTTGAAGCAGTGCTTAAACGAGTCCACCATATGCTGTTTGGTCTTCTGGAACAGGGGAAAGTGATGCACGCAGCCACCACTGTGTTTGCTAACGCCAGCTGCAAAAAATGAAATCGAATGAGTGTCAGAATTAGATCCGATTGGAGAACACTTACATATGGTGGCCATATCGCTATACTGTTGGTTCATCAGAAACAGATCGACTGCAATCTGATAGCCGGAGCACTCCAGAGCGAAACGCTTATAGAAATCTGTCGCTGGATTCAGATGCGGCACGTCCTTGGCCGAGCGATTGTTGGGATCTTCGCGCGGTTCCAGCGCTCCGGGTCCCTTGTTGGGAAGGCACGATTGAAACACCGTTATACGTCCACCAGATGCTTGCTGTGGAAAGTAAATTATTTAGAGTACACTTCCCATCTGATAGTTGCTAAGTATGCTTACCATCAATTTAAAGGCCACCTGAAGGGCCGCGCCTAACGCCGAGCCAGGATCATGGGTGTGAGCAAAGCGTTTGGGCAGCTGCTTCAGCAGATCCCTAACCAGTTCCTTGCACTCCTTGAGATTGACCAACAGACTGTCGGGACGCGGCAGAAAGGGATCATCAATATCCAGCAGCGTCATCTCATGCGGCTGATTCAGGCCCTCAGCCATGCTGTAGAAGTGCACGAAGCTGTCGTAGCATAAGAAACCCACTTGGGTGCGCGCATCGCCCGGCATCTCATCCAAATGGCGATTCAGCACCGAGCATGCCGTCTCCAGATAGCCGCTCTGTTGCGCTATAATCGACACATCGAACAGGAACAAATACATCGCCGGCTGGGGTGGACGCAACATGTATTCCGATGGCGCAATGAATTCAATAGTGCTGGATCGCACCTCGGGTCGTCGTGTCACATCGCCGTACGTCTTTGTAGCCGGATCAAACTGGAAGTCCTCGGGCACTACGAGCAGAGCAGAGAAGAGAACATTAACATTCATCATTATAATCAAATGGCGAGCTTCCTTTAACTTACGCTCGTTGACGCGATAGCAGAGATTGCATTTCCACATTTTGCTGTCCACGAAGTAGACAAACGGATTGATGTAGGTGCGGCACAGCCGGCAGCGCACTATATTGACGCACTGTATCACGGGCAGGCTCTGTGAAGTAGATAGATATTTAGATATTAACAAATGCCCCACTTTATATTTATAGTCGATGCTCTTACGTTGACATCTCGAAATGGATGAATGACTATGCCCAAGGGCAGGCGTGACTTTTGCAGCAGCGAATTGCTTTCCGGGATCTTGGTTAGGGTGCATCGTATGATGCTGCCACTGCAGTTGATAGACTCGTGGAACTGATTGTGCAGCACCACCTTGGGCGGCGCAATCGTGGCTGGCGACAGAATATGCCTGTTTTGCATCAGATCAATTGTGTCCTGACCCCACAGCCGACTAAAGCCCTGCTGTGCCACGCTCAGCGGCTGCTGCTGCGCCTGATACTGCAGCGGTGCGTTGCTATGCTGCTGCTGCTGTGCTCCGAACACGCCTGGAGCTGGTAGCTGCTGTTGCTGCTGCTGTGGTGGAAAAGCTTGCTTATATGGATATTGCTGCGGCTGTTGCTGTGGATGTTGCTGCGGCTGCTGCTGAGGATATTGCTGCTGCTGCTGTTGCTGTTGCTGCTGTGGCCGATCCGCTGTTGGTGGCGGTCCAAACGGCGGCAGCTGCACCTGCGATGGCATATTCTGACTGGTTGGCAGCGGCGGCGGCATAAATCCCTGCGGAGCACTCTGCATCATAGCATTGGCGGGCATGGCAGCCACGCCTGACTGCCAGAGCGGCGGCCGTTGCGCTGCTGGCGGCATTCCAGGCTGCGCTGCACGTGGCGCATTGTTGTTGGGTTCCGGTCCAGCTGGCGCAGGCGCCGGCACGCCATAGGGCAGCTTCTGCTCCGTTGGTGGCATTGGTCGCGTGGCCAATTTGGGCGCTGGCGTCACGCCGCCGCCAAACACACTCGCCTGACTTTTGTTGCTGGGCGCATTGGCATTGAATGGTGGCACCATGGCAGCCATGGAATTGGGTAGACTAGGCGCCGGTCCGCTCCCTGCCAGCAAAGTATTCGCACTCGAGGTTTGCAATTGTTGCGCGGAGCCAGACAGGCTGGAGACGCCGCGGTAGTCCTTACGCGCCAAGGATTGCCCAGAGCCGGGCCCGTTCAGAGGATTCGGATTCATGCTCATGCTCTGCATGCTGCTTGTCAAGTTGGACACTTGAGTGGCTGATTGCTGCAGCTTTGGTTGTTGCTGTTGCTGTTGTTGTTGTTGTTGTTGAGTTGGTGGTGGTGGCGATGTCAGCATTGTGGAGCCAGCCTGACTCATCGTTGAAACCATCTGACTGCCGGACAGC